CCATCTGCCAGCCGGGTCCCTTCAGAGGTGTCGCTGGTTCCCCGCAGCTCCCAGCTGCAGTCGCACGCTTAACCACCTCCAGCCCGGGCCGATTCTTCCATTCCTCTCCTACAAGTCACACGGCTGAGATGTAAAATCGCACGACTTGCGAGCCATTTCAGGTGCGATTTCTGAAGGCTTTGTTGGAACAGATTTTCAGCGATTTCTTGCGATTTGCAGTGCGATTTCCACTGTATTCTATGTATGTGAAATCCCAATAAAACAGTCCTGATTCACAGCGCTGCGATTTTTGGTGCGATTTCGGGAACAGAAATCGGATCTAATGATTGCGAACGTCTCAACATGTGCGATTTGCTGAGCTGCGATTTCTCGTGCGATTTGGGAATTGAAATCACGCCTGAAATCGGATCTAATGAATGCGAATGTCTCAACATCTGCGACTTGCTGCGCCGCGATTTCTGGTGCGATTTGGGAACAGACATTGGATCTAATGAATGCGAACGTTTCAACATGTGCGATTTGCTGTGGCGCGATTTCCGGTGCGATTTGGGAACGGAAATCGGATCTAATGAATGCGAATGTCTCAACATGTGCGATTTGCTGTGGCGCGATTTCTGGTGCGATTTGGGAATATAAATCACACCTGAAATCAGATCTAATGAATGTCTTAACGTGTGATGTGCTGCGGTGCGATTTTTGGTGCGATTTGGGAACAGAAATCGATCTAATGATTGCGAACGTCTCAACATGTGCGATTTGCTGCGGCGCGATTTCAAAAGTCGTTCTTGTGTGACTTTTTCTGCAGTTTGCTGCGATTTCACATATAGACTACAATAGAAATCGCACCGCAAAAGGCAATGGAAAACGCAATAAATCAGTGGGAAATCTTCATTAACGCGGTGAAATCGCAAACAAAATGCATGATTTTACATCGCATCCAGTGTGAACCAAGCCTTAGCCTCCGGTCACACCGGTGCGATTTCACGTGCGATTTGGGAACAGAAAACGGATCCAATGAATGTGAATGTCTCAACATGTGCGATTTGCTGCGGCGTGATTTCCAGTGCGATTTGGGAATTGAAATCGCACCTGAAATCAGATCTAATGAATGTCTTAACGTGCAATTTGCTGCGGTGCAATTTCTGGTGCGATTTGGGAACAGAAATCGGATCTAATGATTGCAAACGTCTCAACATGTGCGATTTGCTGCGGCGCGATTTGGGAATTGAAATCGCACCTGAAATTGGATTTCATGAATGTCTCAACATATGCCATTTGCTGCTGCGTGATTTCAAAAGTCGTTCTTGTGTGACTTTTTCTGCAGTTTGCTGCGATTTCACATATAGACGACAATCGAAATCGCCTCGCAAAACACAACGGAAATGCAAGAAATCGTTTGGAAATCTTCAGAAAACGCGGTGAAATCGCAAACAAAACGCACGATTTTAAATCGCATCCGGTGTAACCCAAGCCTTAGCCCCCGCTCACACCGGTGCGATTTCAGGTGCGATTTGGGAATTGAAATGGTATTTAATGAATGTGTCTTAACGTGCGATTTGTTGCGGCACGATTTCAAAAAGTCGTTCTTGTGTGACTTTTTCTGCAGTTTGTTGCGATTTCACATACAGAAGACAATAGAAATCGCACCGCAAAACGCAACGGAAAAGGCAAGAAATCGTTGGGGAATCTTCAGAAAATGCAGTGAAATCGCAAAAAAAACGCACAATTTTAAATCGCATCCAGTGTGAACCAAGCCTTAGGGCTGCGACTTGGCGTGTGATTTGCACTTGTAAATCGCACGCCAAGTCGCACCCTATTGTCCGCTAACAGAGCGGTCATATTGGTGCGGTTCCGACTTGGTCAGAGACGCGCCGATTTCAAAAGTACTACTTTTGTTGCGATTTGCATGGACATCTGTGTCGGATATCTAGCAGATCGCAAGGAAATCGACTTTGCTGGAAGTCGCATGATTCCAAAATCGGATTCGATGTGAACAGAGACTCAGTGTCTGAACACGTGCGATTTGCTGCGGCGCGATTTCTAAAGTCGTTCTTGCGTCACTTTCTGCAGTTTTGTTGCGATTTCACATTCATAGAATAGAATGGAAATCACAAATTGCAAGAAATCGTTGAAAATCTTCAGAAGTCGCAATCAAGTCTTCAGAAAGTGTTCTGAAATTGTACACAAATTGTGCGATTTTAAGTCGATTTCTAAAGTCCTTCTTGCGTACGTGACTTTCTCTGCCGTTTTGTTGCGATTTCAGACCTAGAATAGAATGGAAATCGCTCTGCAAATCGCAAGAAATCATTGAAAATCTTCACAAGTCGCAATAATATCTTCAGAAATCGCACCTGAAACTGCACACAAGTTGTGTGATTGCATTACTTTTTTTGCAGTTTTGTTGCGATTTCACATACATAGATTACAATAGAAATCGCACCACAAAACGCAAGAAATCGTTGGGAAATCTTCACAAGTTGCAAAGAAATCTTCAGAAATTGCGGAGAAATCGCAAAGAAAATGCATTATTTAAAATTGCATACAGTGTGAACCAAGCCTTAGGCTGCGGATGCGATTTAAAATTGCGTGTTTTGCTTGCGATTTCACCGCGATTTGTTTGATATTTCCCAATGATTTCTTGCATTTTCCGTTGCATTTTGCGGTGCGATTTTTAAAGTCGTTTTTGGGTGACTTTTTCTGCAGTTTGCTGCGATTTCACATATAGACTACAATAGAAATCGCACCGCAAAATGCAACGGAAAACGCAATAAATCGTTGGGAAATCCTCAGAAACGCAGTGAAATCGCAAACAAAACGCAATGGAAAACGCAAGAAATCGTTGGGAAGTGCTCCGAAAACGCCTTCGGCTGCGGATGCGATTTAAAATCATGCATTTTGTTTGCGATTTCACCGTGATTTCTGAAGATTTCTTTGCAACTTGTGAAGATTTCCCAACGATTTCTTGCATTTTCCGTTGCGTTTTGTTTGCGATTTTACTACGTTATCGGAGGGCAAAATGCAACGGAAAACGCAAGAAATCGTTGGGAAATATCGAACAAATTGTGGTGAATTCGCACTGCAAAACGCTACGGAAAATGCAAGAAATCGTTAGGAAATCCTCAGAAAACACGGTGAAATCGCAAACAAAACGTGCAATTTTAAATCGCATCCGAAGCCTAAGGCTTGTTTCGCACTGGATGCGATTTAAAATCGCGCGTTTTGTTTGCGATTTCACCATATTGTAGTCTATATGTGAAATTGCAGCAAACTGCAGAAAACGGCTCACACAAGAATGACTTTAGCAATCGCACTGCAAAACGCAACGGGAAACAGAAGAAATCGTTGGGAAATATCAAACAAATCGCGGTGAAATCACAAACAAAACGCGCGATTTTAAATCGCATCCAGTGCGAAACAAGCCTTAGGCTGCGGATGCAATTTAAAATTGCGTGTTTTGTTTGCAATTTCACCACGTTTTCTGAGGATTTCCCAACGATTTCTTGCGTTTTCCGTTGCGTTTTGTGGTGCGATTTCTATTGTAGTCTATATGTGAAATCGCAGCAAACGCAGAAAAAGTCACACAAGAACGACTTTTAAAATCGCGCCGCAGCAAATCACATATGTTGAGACATTCGCATTCATTAGATCCGATTTCAGGCGCGATTGCAACTCCCAAATCGCACCTGAAATCGCGGCGGTGTGAACCCGGGCTTAGGCTGCAGTTGCGATTTTACAGACATAGATTCTGTTTCAATTTGTAACCAATGGGTTACAAAATGCACAAATTTCTGATTTTCTAAGGAAAATTTGTTCGGAATTCAACCCACGTATGGCCTGGACCATATCTGACCGATGAGCTGCAATATTTTGGGTTTCGATATACTTTAGTACGACCAGCGGTGGACTGACCATTTGGAAACTTGGGCACTGCTGGAGGGCCCGGGGTCAGTAGGGGGCCCCATGAGATGCCCCTGGTACCTTTTTCATAGGCTTTTTTGAGTTTGGGCAAGGACACAGGGGCCCCATGATCCCCTATTGCCCGGGGGGCCCCATGAGATGCCCCTGGTACCTTTGTTATAGGCTTTTTTGAGTTTGGGCAAGGACACAGGGGCCCCATGATCCCCTATTGCCCGGGGGGCCCCATGAGATGCCCCTGGTACCTTTTTAGGCTTTTTTGAGTTTGGGCCAAGGACGCAGGGGCCCCATGATCCCCTATTGCCCGGGGGCCCCATGAGATGCCCCTGGTACCTTTTTCGTAGGCTTTTTTGAGTTTGGGCAAGGACACAGGGGCCCCATGATCCCCTATTGCCCGGGGGGCCCCATGAAATGCCCCTGGTACCTTTTTCGTAGGCTTTTTTGAGTTTGGGCAAGGACACAGGGGCCCCATGATCCCCTATTGCCCGGGGGGCCCCATGAGATGCCCCTGGTACTTTGTTATAGGCTTTTTTGAGTTTGGGCAAGGACACAGGGGCCCCATGATCCCCTATTGCCCGGGGGGCCCCATGAGATGCCCCTGGTACCTTTTTCATAGGCTTTTTTGAGTTTGGGCAAGGACACAGGGGCCCCATGATCCCCTTTTGCCCGGGGGGCCCCATGAAATGCCCCTGGTACCTTTTTCATAGGCTTTTTTGAGTTTGGGCAAGGACACAGGGGTTTTTGAGTTTGGGCAAGGACACAGGGGCCCAACGATCCCCTATTGCCTAGGGCCCCATGAGATGCCCCTGGTACCTTTTTCATAGGCTTTTTTGAGTTTGGGCAAGGACAAAGGGGCTTTTGAGTTTGGGCAAGGACACGGGGGCCCCATGATCCCCCATTGCCCGGGGGCCCCATGAGTTGTCAGTCCGCCCCTGAATACGACATTGTTCTAGGATACGTTCCGTTGACGATGCGCGTTGTCGATACTCACAAGACCCCCTTATTAATGATGTTTTGGCTTCCTTTCTAGAATTCACATGTCCACGTCCTTCAAGAACGAAGAGTTCCCCGAAGCGTTTGAGATAATGGTGGGCTCCTACACCACCCCCTCACCCCTGGACCCCTCCTTCCAGAACGGGACGGTCCAGGCGAACAACGTTTGCATCTTCCAGGAGGAATTCAAGTACTTCTTGCTGCCGGTGTCCTACAGCGTGGTCTTCATTCTGGGGCTGCCCCTGAACCTGACGGCCATGTGGATCTTCGTGGCCAAGATGCGCCCCTGGAGCCCCACTACGGTCTACATGTTCAACCTGGCCTTGTCGGACTCGTTGTATCTGCTGTCGCTGCCCACCCTGGTCTATTATTACGCCGACCACAACAACTGGCCGTTCGGAGAAGCTCTGTGCAAGACCATGCGCTTCTTGTTCTACACCAACCTCTACTGCAGCATCCTGTTCCTCACCTGCATCAGCCTCCACAGGTATATGGGCGTCTGCCACCCCCTCCTTTCCCTGCAGAGGATGAAGGCCAGGTACGCCCATATGTTCTGCGTGGGCGTGTGGGTCTCCGTCAGCGTCTGCTTGATCCCGAACCTTTTCTTTGTTACGGTGAGCCCCAAAGGCAACGACACCATATGCCACGACACCACCACCCCCGAGGACTTTGAAGAGTATGTTGAGTACAGCACGGCCGTCATGAGCCTCTTGTTCGGCGTACCCTGCTTGGTCATTGCCGGCTGCTACGGGCTCATGGCCAGGGAGCTGATGAAGCCCATGGTCAGCGGGATCCGCCAGACTCTACCTGCTTACAAGAGAAAGTCCATCAAGACCATCGTCATCGTCCTCACGGTGTTCATCATTTGCTTCCTGCCCTTCCACGTGACACGCACGATCTACTATTACGCCCGGCTCTTGGACGCCAGCTGTAATTCGCTGAATGTGGTGAACCTAAGCTACAAGATAACGCGCCCGTTGGCCAGTGCCAACAGCTGCTTCGACCCCGTTTTATACTTCTTGGCCAGCGAGAATTACCAGAAGAGACTGGTCAGTGCAGTGACCAACATCTCCAATGTGTGCAGGAGACATCTACCCATCATCCATCATGTGCCCACAACCAACAAAAGGGACGGCCCGGCCGTAATCCCCGTCCAAGGCGGCGTGGAAAATATCGGGAGCTTTGGAAACCTCCTGGGTGATAACCATGAAGTCCACCACCCGGGTGAAATAGAAGTAGAGATGGGTACCAGCAACAAGCAAACGTCCACGGAATGCACGTACGCAAAAAATAAAGTGAAATGGAGAAACTCCATGGAAGAAAATGGAAATGTTGGGGTGGGTGGAGCAGAAGACAATGTGGGGGAGCCCAGGAAAGATGAGGGAGACGTTGTAGAGGGGAAAAAGCGTGATAATGTGCCGTGGTGTTGATAAAAAAAATGCCGAGATCACAAAGTGACAATGTATCAGACAGCAAAAGAAACAAAGCAAACGGCGAAAAGAGAGGGTTCTGGAGTTTGAGGAGAATGAGGGGACCTCAAAATGGAACCTTTGAAAATAGCTCATGTGAAGGAGAGGGGACCTCATCCTGGAATCTTCTAGACACAGCAAGTCAAGGAGGACAGGGCATGCACAATGAGAAGGACAATACCAAGGGGAAGGAGCTGCTCTTCCTCCCCAGCATCTAAATAGAAGCTTTCCAGACTACTCACTATGTCGAATACACTCTATGGCCAAACTTTATGGACCCCCTCCAAATGATTGGGTTCAGGTGTCTCCAGTGAAGGGTCCTCCATCATACAAAGACAATTTAGACAATTGTGCTCTTCCAACCTTGTGGTAACAGTTTGGTGAAGACCCTTTTCTGTCTCCCCCATGACTGTCCCCGTGTACAAAGCCAGCTCCATAAAGACATGGAGGACCAGTTTGGTGAAGACCCTTTTCTGTCCCCCCATGACTGTCCCCCGTGTACAAAGCCAGCTCCATAAAGACATGGATGACCAGTTTGGTGAAGACCCTTTTCTGTCCCCCCATGACTGTCCCCCGTGTACAAAGCCAGCTCCATAAAGACATGGATGACCAGTTTGGTGAAGACCCTTTTCTGTCCCCCCATGACTGTCCCCCTGTGTACAAAGCCAGCTCCATAAAGACATGGATGACCAGTTTGGTGAAGACCCTTTTCTGTCCCCCCATGACTGTCCCCCGTGTACAAAGCCAGCTCCATAAAGACATGGATGACCAGTTTGGTGAAGACCCTTTTCTGTTCCCCATGACTGTCCCCCGTGTACAAAGCCAGCTCCATAAAGACATGGATGACCAGTTTGGTGAAGACCCTTTTCTGTCCCCCATGACTGTCCCCCATGTACAAAGCCAGCTCCATAAAGACATGGATGACCAGTTTGGTGAAGACCCTTTTCTATCCCCTGATTGTCCCCCCCGTGTACAAAGCCAGCTCCATAAAGACATGGATGACCAGTTTGGTGAAGACCCTTTTCTGTCCCCCATGACTGTCCCCCATGTACAAAGCCAGCTCCATAAAGACATGGATGGACCAGTTTGGTGAAGACCCTTTTCTGTCCCCCCCATGACTGTCCCCTGTCCCAGCTCCATAAAGACATGGAGGACAAAGACCCTTTTCTGTCCCCCCATGACTGTCCCCCGTGTACAAAGCCAGCTCCATAAAGACATGGAGGACCAGTTTGGTGAAGACCCTTTTCTGTCCCCCCATGACTGTCCCCCGTGTACAAAGCCAGCTCCATAAAGACATGGAGGACCAGTTTGGTGAAGACCCTTTTCTGTCCCCCCATGACTGTCCCCCGTGTACAAAGCCAGCTCCATGGCACACACCACGTCCTGTGACAACTGACGTGGCTTCCTCAGTGCCTTGTTCTGCCCCTTGTATGAGCTGCCAAAGTGTTCGACAATAAATATATTTTTTTATGTATGGAAACAATACACTTCCTGTAGTATAAATGTTGTTTTTTGAACCCGCGGTGAATATTAAAGGGGACCTGTGATACTTCTCACGGTAAGGTGTCAGTGTAACCCTTCCAGGTATTATTACTTCTCGGAGACCGCAGGACTCCCCCTGACCACGCCTTCATCTGCTTCTCTCTCCAGAAGGATGGCGCCATCTTTGTTCAGGCATCATCCAGGGTCACCACCTACTTGGGAGAACACCGGAACCTCTGAATGTTTATAATGGCAACGGGTGATAGGGTGCGCTGGAGGGGTGTGTTGATGCTGGTTACTTGGGGATCTATTGTCACTGGGGGGAATCTATTGTTGCTGGGAGTGATCTACTATTAAGGGAGGGGTCTACCGGTGCTGGGTGCCGGAAGATCTATTGTTGTGGGGGGTATTTTGTTGTTTAGGGTCTATTGTTGCTGAGGGGTATTTTGTTGTGGAGGTATATTGTTACTGGGGGTCGGGTGTATTGTTCCTCGGGTGGATCTATTGTTGCTGTTAGAAAATTTGTTGTGGGGGATCTATTGTTGCTGAGGGGTATTTTGTTGTGGAGGTATACTGTTACTGGGGGTCGGGGTGTATTGTTCCTAGGGTAGATCTATTATTGCTGGGGGGTATTTTGTTGTGGAGGTATATTGTTGATGGGGGGGGGTGTATTTCGTTCCTGGAGGATATATGTTGCTGGGGGGTCATTTTGTCCCTAGGGGAGGTATACTGTTACTGGTAGGGTCGGGGTATTTGCTGTGGGGGATCTATTGTTGCTGGGGGTATTTTGTTGTGGAGGGTCTATTGTTGATGGGGGGGTATTTCGTTGTGGAGGGTCTATTGTTGATGGGGGGAAGGGTGTTCATTGTCCCTAGGGGGATCTACTGTTGCTGGGGGAATATATTGTTCTTTGGGGGATCTATTGTTGCTGGGGGTATTTTGTTGTGGAGGGTCTATTGTTGCTGGGGGGTATTAAGTTGTTGTGGAGGATCTATTGTTGCTGGGGGGTATTTTGTTGTGGAGGATCTATTGTTGCTGGGGGTATTTTGTTGTGGAGGTATACTGTTGCTGGGGGTCAGGGTGTATTGTTCTTATGGTGGATCTATTGTTGCTGGGGGGAAATTTGTTGTGGAGGATCTATTGTTACTGAGCCAGAGGCAAAAAAGGAAAGGCAGGACACCCGTGTGACGAGGGGGGGGGTGCAGCTTGCCATGTAGTCCCCAACCCCCGCAGTTGAAAACATTGCACTTGGGGAACCTGCCCCTCCAGCCCTCCTGCAAGTCTGGGGGGGGGGGGGGCGGGGTCGCATACTGCGGGGATCATCCACAACAAACTTTATTGGAGACTGCTCTGCCATGGATGGAGCCAAGGATGGAGAAGCGCAGGATCTGTAGGAGGAGCGCTGTCCTCCTCTCTACTGCTGACAGTTGAGTAGGGGTTTTGGGGGGGGGGGGGGGGGGGGGCAGACACGATCATCTCTGTGACTGCATGGAGAAGTGCAGGATCTGCAGGAGTTCTGTCCTCCTCTCTGCTGCTGTTGATTGAAGTGGGTTTGGGGGGGGGGGCAGAGACAATCCTTTGTGATACTGCATGGAGAAGCGCAGGATCTGGCGGAGGAGATCTGTCCTCCTTTCTGCTGCTGCTGATTGAAATGGGATGGGGAGGGGGCAGAGCCGATCCTTCAATCCTTTCTGAGACTGCATGGAGAAGCGCAGGATCTGGCGGAGGAGTTCTGTCCTCCCTCCTCTGCTGCCGACTTCTGAGACAAGGTGGGGTTGGAGAGGAGAGGGGTGAGGGCCACATGAAGTGACCTGGCTAGCTGGACTCGGGACAAATGTGCCATCAAGGAAATGAACCAAACAACCCAAATGCCTACAAAAACACTCTAAATATGTCAAAATAAAACTAGATTTTTTTTTCAGACAAATTGCCCCAAAATGAGCAAAGTTGAAAATTTTGGTAAAATATGGCTGATGGTAGTTTGCCGAATCACTCAGCTCATCGCTGGATGTCATCCACCAGACCAAATCTTTAGTTCTGTTCCCCCTCAGTCCTCCAGGACCAGGGGCGGACTGACCATTCGAGCACTCGGGCACTGCCCAAGGGCCCAGGGTCAGTAGGGGGCCCCATGAGATGCCCCTGGTACCTTTTATAGGCTTTTTGGGGTTGTGCTTTGGGTGTGGGCAAGGACACGGGGCCCCATGCTCCCCTATTGCCGGAGGGCCCCATGACTTGTCAGTCCGCCCCTGTCCAGGACAATTCCGATTTTTCTTCCTCCCCTTTGTCCTTTGCCTTCATCACTCAGCTGTTAATATTTCCATGGTGACGGGCCGGACCTTAGTCCTCATAAAATAGTCCCTGGAATGTCCCTTGTTCCTGACTTCCATTGTGTGAGGACTGTGGAGGATGAAGGACGGACATAAAGGCTTTGTCCTCCATTCTTCTGCCCGCTGTGGATTTTCAGAGAGAATTTCTAAACTGAATGGGGGTCCAAGCTTGCCTAAGTCCTAATTGTGTACAGGAGGTCTACACAACGTGGGCCGATGGTTGGCGGAGATGTGCCGGGTGTCAGGGACTTCGGTTGGTTTCACTGTATTGTTTTGTAATAGAGACGAGAAAACTTCTGCTAAATGAGGTCAGTTGTCGTGTAGTCGTTAAAAAATTGTGTCCCACTTGAGTGGGACTTGAGTCCCGCTTCTGGATGACCTACATAAATAACCACATGAGATTCAATACCACGAGGACGTGTCCATGACTGTCCACTGAGAACTTCTCTTCTCATAGATGCCTGTTCATACACCGACAAGACATTTGGACCACCAACAGGTGACGTGAAGAACATTGATTATCTCATTATAATGACACCTGAAAGTGGGTGGAGGTTTGAGGGGTTCTGACAAGGACCAAATTAGGATGTCTAGATGACTGGGTCAGAGCAACTCCAAAACTGCAGCTCTTGGGGGGTGTTCCTGGTCTGCAGTGGTCAGGAGCAACCAAAAGTGGTTGAAGAAAGGAGAACTGGGGAACCGTTGACAGGGTCGTAGGGAGCCAAGGCTCATTGATGGAGGTGGGCGGCAAAGGTTCATTGATGGAGGTCGGCAGCAAAGGTTCATTGATGGAGGTGGGCGGCAAAGGCTCATTGATGGAGGTCGGCAGCAAAGCCTCATTGATGGAGGTGGGCGGCAAAGGTTCATTGATGGAGGTGGGCGGCAAAGGCTCATTGATGGAGGTGGGGCGGCAAAGGCTCATAGATGGAGGTGGGCGGCAAAGGTTCATTGATGGAGGTGGGCAGCAAAGGCTCATTGATGGAGGTGGGCGGCAAAGGCTCATTGATGGAGGTGGGGCGGCAAAGGCTCATTGATGGAGGTGGGCGGCAAAGGTTCATTGATGGAGGTGGGCGACAAAGGCTCATTGATGGAGGTGGGCAGCAACTCATTGATGGAGGTGGGCAGCAAAGGGTCATTGATGGAGGTGGGGCA